TATGGGCGCCTTATGCCGCTATTAGTATTGGATCAGGCACCGGCTCCAGCAATCTTACCGGCGCCCTTTGGAGTGGCACCCAGGTAAATATCCAGAGCGGGGTATTGATTAATTTTGCACCATTTATTTTCTGCCAATCACCTGATGCAAACGCAGGACCCGACAAACCCCTGGATTTTGTAAATCTTACTACACTCACCGGTTCGTCTGCCACTGCCGGGGTAAGTTATAGCTGGAAAGCCGCCAACGGCGGGGTAATAACCTCCGCTTCCAATATTTCCCAGATAACCGTATCTGCCGCAGGCAGCTATATACTCACCGTATCTTCCGCGGCCGGCTGCCCGGCAACTGATACTGCAGTTGTTACCAGTAAGATCAACAACCTCATTGGTTCCGAACTGCAGTCTGTTTATCAAAACTATACTCCTTCTGCACCTGCCTCCCCCTTCTTTGTTATAGCCAATGACAGTATTACTATAGATATCATTACAAAAGAAGGCAAATATGCAGATGCACTGGCACTTTTAACAACATCCGCTTACGGACTTACCGGTATACTCAGCAATGGCAACAGCAATTTTATTATCACCGGTAAGTTTCCTATCGCCAAACTGCCATTGTTAAATACACGCGCCGACCTGATTGTTTACTGCCGTCCTTATTATGCGGCCGTTCACAACAGTGGTATTGTGAACGCAGCCGGTGACACGGCAGTCCGCTCTTACCTGGTAAGAAATGGATACGGATTGCGCGGCGGAGGTATAAAACTCGGTGTGCTGTCAGACAGTTATAACACCATCACTTCTTCCGGTACAAACCCTGTTTCCAATACCGCACCGCTTGATATCAGCAACGGAGATCTGCCGGGCGCCGGAAATCCGGATGGCGACATAACGCCGGTACATGTTATAAAAGACTATCCCTTTAAAAGTTCAGACGAGGGCAGGGCCATGCTGCAGATAGTGCATGATATAGCACCCGGTGCAGAACTCTATTTCCGCACCGGATTTATCAGCCCCGGCGATTTCGCCCAGGGCATCCTGGACCTGCAGCAGCAGGGTTGTAATGTAATGGTAGATGATATTACATTTATTACAGAGCCTTTCCTGAAAGACGGGGTGGTAGCATCAGCGGTAGACCAGGTAACAGCTGCCGGCACCAGCTATTTCTCTGCTGCCGGAAATTTTGCCGGCAAATCTTATGAGAATGCTTTCAATTCAGTGCCAGCCCCCGGCGGACTGCCCGGCACGGCCCATAGTTTTGGCGGAACGGATGTTTTTCAGAGCGTCACCCTCAGCCCCGGCAACTATACCATTGTACTGCAGTGGCTGGATGATATCTATTCACTGGGGCAGACGTCTTCGGGCGGTACAAAAAATGACCTGGATATCTATCTTACGCCCAATACCGACGGTACCGCGCTTTTTGGTTTTAACAGGAACAATACCAATGGCGACCCTATTGAAGTGCTGCCGTTTACCATTAACAGTACCGTTACCACCAATATACTCATCACCAATAATACCGGTGGCAGTGGTCCGGCCCGTTTTAAATACATTGTATTCAGGGGCGATATTCTTTTTAATGAATATGCCACCGGCACGTCCACCATTACCGGGCAGGCAAACGCCAATGGCGCTATTACGGTAGGGGCTGTACGTTATGACAAAGCCCCCCCCTACCCCGGCCCGCTGAGTATTGAATCGTTCTCTTCCATAGGGGGAACCGTAGTGAATAACCTGAAAAGAAACAAACCAGACCTGGTAGCACCCGATGGTGTAAATACAACTGTAAACCTGGGAGGCGATTATGACCATGATACTTATTCAAACTTTTTCGGTACTTCGGCTGCAGCACCGCATGCAGCAGCAGTAGCGGCGCTGATTATGGAAGGCAGGAAAAAATTCTCTAACCAGGCCACTACCAACCCCGCCGAAATGAAAGCCCTGCTGCAAAGCTCCGCTACTGATATGAATTCGCCCGGCTTTGATTTCAGTTCGGGATTCGGGTTCCTTAATGCAGACGCCGCCATGCGCAGTTTTGCAACACCCGACCCCACCCTTATAAAACTGGTAGTACCTGCCAATACAACCCCGGGTACATCATCTTTTACACTTACTGTTACGGGACTTAACCTGAGTCCTACTTCAGTCATCAAATTCAGGGATTCAACACTGGGCACAACCATCGTAAATTCCACCACCGGTACTGCCGTGGTACCGGCATTCACGGGCGATCCTATTATCAGCGTTTATACGCCACCGGTAAGCAGCAGCGGTCTTGATGGCGGCACCAGCGACACCCTGCGTTTCTTCAATCTTCCCAAAAAGATTATTACCGTTATAGCTGACAACAAAACAAAAAAATATGCAGAGCAACTGCCACCGCTTACCGCCACTGTGCTGGTAAACGGAGACAGCCTGCAAAACACTTCTTTAACTATGGCAGCACTGGGGCTCGACAAATTGCAGCTCAGCACCCAGGCGGCAGCCGGCAGCAATACGGGCACTTATATCATTACACCCTCAAGGAATTTTGTGAGCACTGACGCGGCGGATAAGGGCCTGCTTGAGTTGTATAGCTATACCTTTCAACCGGGCAACCTAACCATTGAAAAACTGCCCGTTACAATCACTGCACAGGAAAGTACCGTTGTATACGGCCAAAAAATACCGGACACCAAATTTACCTACCAGTTTAACGGCAGGAATATACCCGATTCAGCAGCTTTCCTGAACAGCCTGCGCATCAGCCACCAGGCACAACTGGCAAAAGACGATAAAGGTAAAGACGTATTGGGCCTGGTAAACGGCAGAGCGGTTACTATTGTCAATGGAAGAGCCATTCCTATTGTTAACGGACAGGCAGTCACTATTGTCAACGGCCGGGCAGTTACCATTGTCAATGGCCGGGCTATTCCTATCGTTAATGGCCAGGGTATTACTATTGTGAATGGCCGGGCTGTCACCATTGTAAATAATCTCACCGGCAGCCAGGTAGACAACCTCAGTTTCCTGGTTACCGCACCATCGCTTCAAAATGCAAGAAAAATATATAACAAGACATGGGTGAACGGCATTTATCAAACTGATTCAACCAGCGTAGTGGATATTACACAGGAATCTATACTGGAGTTTACCAACAACAGCGCACAAACATACATGCTTAGCGCCCTGTCTGACGCAAGTGCAAAAGGCCTGGTAGACCTGCAATCCATCACCAATGGCAGGGCCATCACCATCGTAAACGGGGAAACTACCACCGAGATCATCAATGGGCAGGCCGTCACCATCGTAAATGGCAGGGCAGTCACGATTGTAAACGGGCAGGGAATTCCAATTGTAAACGGACAGGCCGTGACCATCGTAAACGGGCAGGCCGTGACCATTGTAAACGGGCAGGCCATTCCGATTGTAAACAGTCAGGAAAAAACAGCGGTAGTAGTAGACTCCAGCGAAATTGGCCAGGGTCAAAGCCAGCTGAAATCGCTGAACATGATCACGGGGCTGGATGTGGGCAGCCAGTATATCATACCGGGTTCATTGGTCAATGAGAACTTGCTGGTGAACTATATTGCCGGGGTGGTTACTGTAACCCCCGCACCGGTAACCATAACACTCACTGCCGGACAGTCTAAAGTCTATGGAACAGACGAACCCGTGTTCTCTTTCACCAATAATGCAGGCCTGGCTCCGGAAGATTTTACCGGCCATCCCGGCCGTGTCACTGGCAACGATGCAGGCAGCTATTCATACACGTTAGGAGATTTGTCGGCGGGCGCCAATTATACATTGTTGTTGTCAGGAGTAGCGCCTGTAGCCACATTTGTAATCACCCCCAAAGCAGTTACCATTACGCCCAACGCAGGCCAGGCCAAAATATACGGGGATGCAGACCCGGTATTTAGTTTCACCAACAGTGAATCGCTCAACAGCTTTACCGGAAAACTGGGCAGGGTAAGCGGTGAAAATGCAGGTAATTATGCCTACACCATCGGCAACCTTTCTGCAGGTATCAACTACGCGCTCAGCCTCACTGGAGGCAATACATTTGCTGTTACCAAAGCAGTGTTACAGGTAAAAGCAAACGATGCCTTTATCTTCCAGGGTGACCGCCTGCCTGCTTTTACAGCTACTGTTACCGGCTTAAAAAACAATGACAACCCAACAGTCAATTTTGCGCTTTCGCCGGCTTATTCCGGTGCGGCGGGCACTTACAGCATCATTCCATCGCTGCCGGTATTCAGTAATGGCGCCAACTACACCATCACTTATACCAATGGCATTTTATATGTAAATCCTGATGGTCCAGGTGCCAAAAAACTGCGGCCCAGCCTTGATTGCGTGCAGGAAATTACCAACCCGCAGCCGGGTCAGTTCAGGTACATCGCTCATTTTGTATGCCAGAACGACAATGCAACTGCGGTGTATGTACCCATTGGCCAGGACAATAATCTATCCTCCGCGGGCGGAACTTTTAATGCCAGTGCACAACCGGTTGTTTTCCTGCCGGGCAGTACAAGATTTGACGTACCTTTTGATGGCCTGAAAATTACCTGGGTAGTAAGGACCTACGATTCGAACCATAAAACTTCGGTTGGTTCCGATGCAAGTGCTACCTCAGGCAAGTGCAGCAACAATACCCGGGTAATAAATACTGCAGTACCTGCACCAGCAATAACTGCAGCTGACATCACGGCCAAGGCCAATATTTATCCTAACCCTGCTTCACAGGAAATCATTATTAACACCCAAACGGATGTTCTTGCAGAAAAAGCAATTACGGTATACAATATAAGTGGCATGGCATGCCAGGTAAAAGTAGTACGGAGACTATCCGCCAGCAGTGTGGCACTTGATATAGCTGCATTACCAACCGGATTTTATCTCGTAAAATGTAAAATTGCTGGAGGATACCGCACGTTCCGCTTTATAAAAGTGTAAAACAGCTGTGTTTAAGATGTGTACGGTCAACAACAGCAAGGTTCAATTAGCATATATATGATTACCCTGAAAAAACTCATAGGTTGTTGTATTCTTTTTACTGTTTCAATAGTTGTCTTTGCCCAAAGCGAGACGGGCGGGGCTGCGTTGGGCGATACCACAACAGTCAATACCCTTATCCAGCAAAGCAAGGCTTACTTCACGGACTCGCCTGCCAAAGCCATTGAACTGGCAACCAGGGCAAGACAACTGGCGGAGAGCCTGCATTTTCAAAAAGGAGAGGCATATGCGCTCAAGAATATTGGTATAGCCTACTATTTTCAGGGCAAGTATGTAGAAGCGCTGGAATATTACCAGCAGTCGCTGAATTTCTTTACAGAAATTAAGGATTATGTTGGCATGGCCAATATGTACAGCAACATAGGAGTAGTTTACTATGACCAGAGCGATGATGTAAAGGCGCTGGAAAACTACCTTCAGTCGCTGAAATTTGCGGAACTCTCCGGCGATAAACTGCGGATACTTTCTGCACTCAACAATGTTGGCGGTGTGTATACCAACAAAGCCGCTACCTACAGCAAAGCACTTCAATATTACCTGCAGGCGCTCCCCATTTGTGAAGAGCTGGGCAAAAAAGATGAGTTAGGTGCCATTTCCGTAAACATAGGGTTTATTTATTCTGAAAAACAGGATCCTGCAAAAGCGATGATCTATTTCCAGAAAGCATTGAAAACCTATGGTAACTCTGAGGGCAGCCTGAATGCGTACAATGCCATTGGCAAAATGTATACCGACGAAGGCAATTATCCTATGGCGCTTGAAAACCTTAATAAGGCACTCCGCCTGGCAGAGAAACTGAATGTAAAACTGTCGATGGTAAAATCATTTACCCGGCTGGGAAATGTGTATGCAAAACAGGGTGACTATAAAAATGCCATCGCCTATTATATGAAGGCAGAAAAACCGGCACAGGAGATTGGTGCAAAGCTTGAATTGAAGGATATCTATCAGCAAATGTCTATGTCGTACGCCAGGTCGGCCGATTATGGGAACGCTTTTAAATACCAATCCCTGTTTTCCAGTATCAAAGACACACTGTATAATATTGAAAATGATAAAAAGCTGGGAAGTATCCAGTTTGATTTTGACCTGCAGAAAAAACAGGGCGAGATAAACCTGCTTACCAAAGACAAAGCCCTGAACGAATTGCAGATAAAGCGGCAAAAATTTGCGCGGAATGCTTTTGCAGGCGGCCTGGTACTGGTCTTCCTGATTGCCGCCCTGATCTTCCGCAACTACCGTGAAAAAGTAAAAACCAACAGGATGCTTGATCAGCAGAAAGACCAGATTGAGCATCTTTTGCTGAATATACTGCCTTCTGAGGTTGCCAAAGAATTACAGGTGAACGGCCAGGCAACACCCCGGAACTACGATTCAGTAGCGGTCATGTTTACAGATTTCAAAAGCTTCACTACCCATGCAGACAAACTTTCTCCGCAGGAGCTGGTAGAAGAACTGAATGCCTGTTTTATAGAATTCGACAATATCATTGAAAAATACAATCTGGAGAAAATAAAAACCATTGGCGATTCCTATATGTGTGCAGGTGGTATTCCAACGCCCGACAACATGCGTGCACACAATATTGTGAACGCCAGCCTGGAAATACAGGATTATATCATTGCCAATAACAACAGGAGAAAAGAAGCGGGCCTGGAACCATGGGATCTAAGGATTGGCATCCACGTGGGGCCGGTAGTGGCTGGGGTAGTAGGAAAGAAAAAATATGCTTATGATATCTGGGGCAGTACGGTAAACATTGCCAGCCGTATGGAAAGCAATGGTGAGCCCGGCCAGGTAAACATATCAGCAGCTGCTTACGAACTGGTAAAAGACACATTCAACTGTACTTACCGCGGAAAAATATATGCAAAAAATGTAGGTGAAATTGACATGTACTTCGTGGAAAGAATTGCTGCAGACAGGCTATATGTAAACACTATCATGGTTGAAGACAACAATGGGCTATTAAATTAGCACTGCCCCATTGCCGCATCCTATTCCCATTAAGCTTACCCTTAGTATCTATACGGGCTGCTAATTGCAATAGTTAATGTATTTTTGCAGTGCATACAATGAAAGGAACCGGCACCTGCCGCCGCGCTATGTATTCATTGTGTAAATAAGCAAAGGCAA